AGGTTTCAGGCCTGGCTGGTGGGGCAAGCTGGATGACAAGTGTTCCCTTCCACCCTGCTGTCGGTTCAGGCCAAGTGACTGGTTTAAAGTAAGGTAATCCCGCCCTGAAATTTGCTGGGATTTGCTGTCATGCCTGAGAACTTCCTGTCTAGAGTAAGTTTGCTGTTTTAGCTTTTATGGCCTATCATTTATGCATTTTGCAAATATTTATCGTTGGAGACTGTGTATTTCTGGCCTCATTTTGCACAGAAGAAAACAGCTTAGAAATGAATCTTTGTATGCTGCTTGCTATTGCTTGGCACCATGGTGTCATTCAGTCCTTGAAGGAACCCGGTGACTTAGGTGTCTGTACTGTTGGGAGACAATTCTCCTTGAGCATGCTAGATTTCTAATGTTCTTGTGAGCAAAGCACTGAGTGCCCTGTTTTAGACTCGCTTGTCTAGGATATTTGTTTAGTAAACAGTCTTACAAGATAGAGATATTCTCTCCTTCCAGAGGAAAGGCCCGGAGCCCAGTTTAAATGATTGGGTTTTATAAGCTCAGGATTCTCCAGTAGCTGCTTGTGTGGCGGGCATCCATCTGGGCATCTGCCTAACCCCCGTGGGACTTGGAAGCAAGGTGAGCTGATACAAATACTGATGCTCACTGATGCTTGCTCTGCTATGAGGAGTAAAGTCCATAGTCCCTGACCTGGAAGTTCTGTTCCTTCTACCAGCACCCGTGAAACTGTGGCAGACTAACTCGTCAGCTTGTCTGGTACCCCTATGACCTGAAAAGATAGTCAGACCCCCACTTAGATGTAATTAATTGGTAATTAATTTTACCTGCCGCGAAGAAGGGGGTGGGTCTCTTTTTATAGGTTCGTGCAAGCGTACTACAGGAGCGAAACGTGGCTGCTTAAGGGGGGTTAAGCTCGGGTAGTCATGGATACAGTAATAGTAATGCAACAATGATTAATACAGCTTTGGTTGACAGTGGATACATCTCATATCACAATGGTTATGGTTATACAACAGTAATTAATCAAGTTTCAGTGAGTTTTCCACCATTGTTCATCTACTGAGAACTTGGGGGTTTTATGAAACTTGGGACTTTTCTTCCTTGTTCTGAAGCTTGTTCTTGGCAACCCTGGGGGAAGGAGCCTGGGAATGTGGCTGGGAAGCACGTTCAGGGCCACCCTGGGGGAAGGAGGGACTTGCCTTGTTCCAGGAGTCCACTCTGAGGGAAGGGGGGAGGAGGAGGGAAATGGGGTGGTGGGAAGCTGGTCACAAGACTTGAAGGGATAAAATCTCAGACTTCACAATTCTGATATTAAGGAGTGAACTGAGGATCAGAGAGGTTAGGTCTAATGCCCAGAGTCAAATAATCTAATATTTGGGGGGTGGTGGGATTTGAACCTTTGTCTCCAGAGGATGTACTTTTTATTATATTATGGAAAAATGGTACTGCCTTTGCTGCTGCTACTAGCACTTTGTTACTAAAACAATAATAGCTAACAACCACTACCATCATCTGTTGAGTGCTAATGATACATCAGGCCTTGTTTCATCTCATTTAATTCTCACTAACGACCCTATAAGGAATATAGCTTATTTTCTTCATTTTGTAGATGAGCAAAATGTGATCCCATTACCAAGGTCATATGGATAGTAAATACGGTGGAGCCAGGGTTCTAACCCAGGCCATCTGCCTAAAGAGACCATGACCTTGTGGTGGTTAGAGGCCTAATCTGAAAACAGACCAACTTGAATTTTAAATACCTGTCCCCTCATTGTGTGAGGTGGGGCAAATTAATTTTACCTCTTCAAATCTCAGCTGTTTCATCCCTCAAAGGGAGGGGCAGTCATAATAATAGGACTTGCTGCAAAGAGCAGTTATGAGAATTAAATATACATTCTATTATATAAAATGCACCACAGCTGGCTCCTGGCAGCTAGTAAGCCTCTCTAAATGTTAGAGGCTATTATTTTTCTTATCCTTGCTGCTTTTCTTTTTTTTAATTAAAAAGAAAACCTTTATAATTATTTTTTACTCTCAGAGTTCTATAGTGTAAGTATTTTTGACAAAAGACAAAATGTTATTCTTCCCAGTTTATATCAAGAGAATGAATCTCAAATGTAGGGCAAACCTGGCACAGGCTATTTCTTGTATAAATATTTTCTTAATAAGAAAATAGGCGTGAAAACCCCCTATAGACCCAATTTACTCTCTAATCTTCATTTTAGTAACCCTTTCTATTTCCTAAATAACTCCTAATGATCCAGTAATGTATTAACAGTGACAGCTGATGCCAGAGAACGTGTCCTCTCTGGGCCTGACATTTTCCTTAATGGTAATTCTAGCTAGTTAGGTTAAACAACGTGAAATGTCTGGCAGGCCTCCTTCCACAAATGGTAGCGGAGAGGAAATCATGAAAAGTGTTGTGAAGATGGCAGACTGATCCCGCACAGTGTTGACAATTCCGTGATTGCTGTTACAAGGAGAAATAATAGAGTTAACTATCTAGGAACTGTTACCTTTGGGACAGTTGACAAATTGTGCTTTACTTTCAATTAACAGCCTGGAGGGCTTCAGATTTAAAGAGCAAAGTTGTGTATCATAGAAACAAAAGGAAGATGTACCAAGTGCTCTGTACCTAAGTATTGCAGGTCATCTTGGTAGCTATATTGTTGAAGCTGATTTACTTTAAGAGTCAAACACTTACCTGGTATTCTCTCCCTGAAAGTAATCTGGGACATAGCCTGGTTTTGGATCAGGATCACCTGTTTAGAGATGCGGACACAGGATCAGGTATGGAAAGGCCTTAATTCAAGTCTGGGCTCCCAGCAATGCTGCTTTCCTATTTTACACTGTCCTGAGCCGCTTTTGCCTTTTCTTATATCGCCTTTTTTCTTTCATTTCGCTCCACCCCCTCCCCTTCATGCTACACCTGATCTCTTGGCATCCTTAACACATTTACAAAACTCTTTTTGGAGGTTAGATTGCTGTCAGTTTCCCCAAATTTCCCTCTAAATTGAAAAAGAATTTTTACATATTGTGTGGCTCATGAATTAAGATCTTTTGCTCTAAATGACAATTTGGAGAAGACCGTTGTACAGTATTTTGCTTGCAAATACCTAGAAGTGGATATGTGATTGATTTGCTGACAGACCGTCTCTGAAAGCGGTTCTAATGATGGACTTATAATTGATTGCATCCATCATCGAGAGCCTGAAATATCCCCCTCCCTAAATTAAAAAAGATAAATGAAATAAACTAGGCTGAATGTATAAGCTGACAAATCTGAGGGAATTTAATGAAACTCTAAATTACCAGAGGAGGAAAGATAAGAGGAAAAGGTTTCTTTGTTACTGATTATAATACTAAATTAAAAAAAATTATCCAGAGAAGATAATAGAGGAAACAAAGATCTGTGGCCCATGTATCAAACTGAGTTATTGAAATATTTTTAATAAGTATATCTGTCTCATTCCTTGGCTATTGTTGATTCATATCAAGCTTGTTAGCGCCGTTTGAAGACTGGTAAATGTAGGGACTGTCTTGTAGTATAGCTTAGATTTTTGCTGCTGTTACAGATTTTAGATTTAATATGACCTTATTTCCGGGCTGCTGGGGCTCTACCAAATTCAGGTCATTCAAATGGGCTTTTTGGAAGGTGGTTCCTTGGTATATGAGTAGTATTATCAGTTAGTGTGCTTTGGCTACATATAAAAGAAGACCAACTGAAGGTGGATATTCATTCTCTCTCCTAAGATGTGCTGAGGGTAAGGCAGCTGCAGGTGGGCTGTTCCAGGGGCCCAGTGACCTGATAGCTGTAGTTTGGTGTTTCTCCTTAGTGTTCCTTCCATGGTCATAAGATGGCTGAAGTGCTCCATGGTCTTAGCTTTGTATAACGATGTCTGGGATTGGGAAAAGGGACGTTTTCTTGTTATTCTTCTTGTAAGGAACTTATTTCTGGGCCAGGCATGGTGGCTCATGCCTGTAATCCTAGCACTCTGGGAGGCTGAAGAGGGAGAATTGCTTGAGCTGGGGAGTTTGAGACCAGCTCTGAGAAAGAGCATGACCCTGTCTCTACTAAAAAATTAGAAGAAACTAGCCAGGCATGGTGATGCATGTTGGTAATCCCAGCTACTTGGGAGGCTGAGGCAAGAGGATTGCTTGAGCCCAGGAGTTTGAGGTTGCTGTGAGCTACAGTGATGCCATGGACTCTACACAGAGTGAGACTCTGTCTCAAAAAAAAAAAAAAAGTTAGAATTATTGTTAGGTTAGGGTGACCAGATTTTAACATTGGTAAAGTGGGACAACAGGGCGGAGGTGGGGAAGGGGTGGTGAGGGCGGGGGCAGGGCAGGGGACAGGGCAGGGCCTGACAACAATGCAAACTTTGATAAGCAGTTCTCCATAATTACTTCTCAACAATTATTATTATTATAGTTTAACATTATAAAATTAATAAAAATAATATAAAACTCATATTCTGGTGACGTAGCCACATGGCAGCCGAAAACCGTATATTTCCTTCCTGTTCTCCCGCCCGTTTGTGCATTCTTTCCAAAACTTGGGACTTTTTTAAAACGCCACGGGATGCAGGACAAATTGTTCAAAAGCAGGACTGTCCTGCCAAAAGCGGGACGTCTGGTCACCCTACATTAGGTCTCACTGGCTAGACTTGTTTTTGGTAAGGGAATGGAATTATTAATGCCAAGATTCACTCAAATCAAGAGCTCCTTAGCTTCTTGAAAAATTCACACTTGCCTGCTGTCTGATTAGAATGAGCTCCGATGCCAAGGACACAAGCCAAGGGAATGGCTCCTGGGACAGGCAACCCACAAGTCCACATACATGGCCTATTGGAATTTCCTGTGAAGGTGCTCTTGTGTTTTCTGTTGGTAACTGATTTCAGCTCCTACATAAGAAGATGAATGTGCTGACATACTAAGTCACTTTCCTCTTGCTTTTTGCTTTTAGTTTTACTCAGCTTGATATATTCTGCCTTTATCAGGACTCTGTCTACCAGTGATGATGTCGAAGACCGAGAAAATGAGAAGGGTCGCCTTGAAGAGGCCTATGAGAAATGTGACCGTGACCTGGACGATTTGATTGTGCAGCACTACACAGAATTGACGACGGCCATTCGCACGTACCAGAGCATCACGGAGCGAATCACTAACTCCCGAAATAAGATAAAGCAGGTATGCCTCCTTCCGTCTCGTCCGGCTGTGGCGGCACCTTCCTTTAGTACAGCTGTGGCTTGGAGGGGAGCCGTGGTAGTGGCTAATGGCCCTCAGTGAGTGATTCATGGTGACGCCTTCCAGGAGTTTAGCAGGCATCTGGGAAGCCCGGCTGAGGAAGATCATGGAGGGCACCCGGGCACACATCTTCCCTGCCCTGGGTCTTGCTGGCAGCTTCTGCTATTGCTTGTCACTGGGGTGGGAGGTGACATGAGGAGGATGCCCTCAGATTGAGGAAGGGGGGAAGGAATCTAAACCATAGAAGAGTATGTCACCTAAATCGAAGTTGGTTGGGATTTCTCTGTGGTGGTTTGTGTTCTTTGTACTTTTTTGCAAAGCAAAGAAAACCTAACCTACAAATAATTTCAGCATATAATCAAATTTTTATGAAGACCAGAATTTTTGAGTATCATGCCTTACTTGGGACAACTGTGTATTCATTTTTATTTTGTAATTTTCTTTTCATGGTTTGGAGCTCTTTCTTTTCGCTTTTTCGTTTTATTTATTTATTTATTTTTGAGACAGAGTCTCACTCTGTTGCCCTGGGTAGAGTGCTGTGGCATCATAGCTCACAGCAACCTCAAACTCTTTGACTTAAGAGATGCTCTGGCCTCAGCCTCCCAAGTAGCTAGGACAACAGGCACCCACCACAACGCCTGGCTCTTTTTCAGAGAGGAGATCTGGCTCTTGCTCAGGTGGTCTCCAACTCCTGAGCTGGGGCGATCCACCTACCTCAGCCTCCCAGAGGGCTAGGATTACAGGTGTGAGCTTCGGCTTTTATTTTTCTCTTTGTGCCCCTTTCCAGCCCTTCTCTTCCTCTCTCCCTCAGAGCCTCCCTTCTCTCATCTCCCCCACCCCTCTCCCTCCACTCCTTCCTTTTATGGCAGGTCCTTGGTTCCTGGGTACTGCGCCTTTAGTACTACAGGGGGCATTTTTATATTTGGCCAAGGGATGACCTGATCAAATAAAGGTTACTAAGTGTCACATCACATTATAGTGATGTGGTTGGTGGCTGTGTTTTGAGGACCACTCCTTTAGTACCTTTAGTACTCTTTAGTAGACGAAAATAATTGTTACCACTTAGAACACTGATTGTGGGCACAGTGTGATCGTGTCTACCCCTTTCAACACATTCCGAATTGGAATTCTGGTCTCCTTCTCTCTAAAACCTTTGTTTTCAGCATTTTTTTTTTTTATTGCAGCAAAAGCCTTTTTAAAAAAATGAGATATTTTGTAGAACCCCAACATGCCAAATATTAAGAGAGGTGATGAGGTGAGTGTCCTCCTCTTATTTGGTGATGAGGCGAGTGACCCAGGGCATCATGCTGGTCCCCAGCTTAGCTCTCAGGAGCTGCTCCTCAAGCTCCTCCATGGAACTGCAGCTGCCCAGACCACAGTTTGAATTCACTGTCCTGTGCTGTGGGGTTGGTTAGGGCTCTCCCTGGCCTGTACCTGCCCAGTCCTAGCTGTGCTTGTGACATTCTCATGAAATAAGAGGACAAGAAATTCATGTTTGATTTCTTGTCCTCTAGACCTTACATTATGATTTTGTAAGCAGATACATAAATTATGCTTCTAGGAATACTGTTCGTATATGAATTTCAGCCTTTAAGAATCTAGTTCTAGAATTAGTAAACGCTTAAGCTTTTTTTGCAGAAATGTGCTGACCTCTTTATATTCTAAAATTAACTGGGCATTTTTGAAAGGAGCACGGTAGTTCTCACCCTTTCCAAGGGCTGAGTTCATCCTATGGATTTATCTGTGAAACTAGGTAAAGCTATAGATCCGTTGCTCTAGATTTAAAGTAAACTGTAGTCCATTTTGACCCAATATACTGAGTTCAAGAGGGGTCAGGAAATGAATGTATAGAGCTGCTGACCTTCTGGCTTTGCCGCGGGTAATCACAGCAAGGGTGAAAGACCTTGTGGTATTTGTGTTTCCTGATTAGTTTGGTTGACTGAAAGGACTTTGTCTCCGTCTCAAGGGAAGCACCAGCAGTGATTTCTGCTTTGCTCCCTGTCACTCAGAGTCGATAGCATCTTGGCTGCAAACAAAGAGTTTTCACCTGATCTTGAAAGAGAGCGCCTCATCTAGATCATTTCCCATTTGTTTTAGCCACATTTCTGACCATCCTCATTGTCAGTAAGCTGGAGTTTTGCACAGAAGAAAACAACAACAACAGAAAAACTTTGTTTTATCAAATAACTGTCAAGAAAGTAAATGTCACATAATTCAGTGCTACGAATTAGCTTTAATATTGGGAAGAGAAATGAAGGGCTAAAGCTCTTTTCAAAAAAGCCTTTAATAATTGATTAATGGTAGAAGAAAAATGTTAGCGAAAATGAAAGTGAATTTGTTTTTATTGTATAATTTGACAATTTTGTACTATGAAAGTCCATTTCTTATCACCAAGGAAACATTTATGTCTCCTCACTACTCTTTCCTGTCATTTTTGGTTTTTAATTGTACTCTGGATTATGTACAAAATATAGCTATGTATTTTTTAAGGGAAAATGTGGATGATTCAATAATCACTGGATTCCCTTATTTCATAGCCAAGCAAGATGTTGAGAATGGGTAGTTCTTAGTTGAAATTTTCTTTCTGTTCTCTGCCAAAGCAATCTAATGAGGCTCCACACAAAAAAGATGTGAGTGCCAGCGACATTTCTTGTTCTGTTTTAGCTGCTAGAGCTGTACAAGTGGAAAGCACGAGTCCGCATCTTCATAGAGCTTTTGAGCAAGTGGGAGGAGGCAGAAAAACTAACAAAAAGATGATATTTAACCACATCTAGTTAGTGTCTGTGTATCGGATGTCTGATTTGTGCTCAGCAGTGTTCTTATGGGGTATAGAAGTGAAGAAATACAAACATTTCTGTCCTTGTGGAGTTTACATTCTAGTTTACATTCTAATCAGGGGAGACAGACTATAAATGAATTAATAAGTGAAAGTATGGTATAACAGATGGTAAGAAAGTGCTATGTAAAAAAACCCCCAAAAAACAGAAAAGCAAGGAAAGGAGAGAGTAGGGAGTTGCTGCCTTAGCTGGGTTGGTCAGGGGAGGCCTCCTGGAGGTCCATTTGAGCCACCACCTGACTTTGACCAGGTAGAGCATGCGTAAGTTCACTCTGGAAAGAAGGGAAGCATGTGCAAAGAGCCTGAGGCCAGGCCGGGAGAGAGATGAGAAGACTGGGGTGTGCAGTGTGGTAGAGGGTCCTGGCCCTTAGGAGTACGATGGGAAACCGGTCTAAGCTTTTGAGCACAGGAATGACCCGACACGACTAACATTTTAAAGTGCTCACTCTAGCTGCGGAGCTGGGAATAGATTTTAGTGGAGGCCAAGGCAGATGAAGATTTCCATATTCATGTCTTGCCACCTTTCAAAGCTTGAGATCACAGAACAGTTTATACTTTCCGTTTTTTGACATTGCTTTCAAATATCGATTTATGTTATATTGGTAGAGTCTATGCTCTGGAGGATAAATGTGAGCTGACAGATGGACTGGACTTTCTTCCCAGATGGTCCAAACTTTTTAACATCGATCAAGTCCATTGGAATTTTTTCTAGATAAAAAAAAAATTGTACAAGTATAATACCATGAATGATTGAGGAGGTCAAGTTATATGGATGATAAACTACTTAGGTAATACTGTTACTTTTGAATACATTGTAAAATTGGTCAAAATGAGATGCTTTTAGATTAGACTCCAGGTTCCACCAGTATCTTTCTTAATAATGATTGCTAATCACAGCAGCGCTAAAATAGACGAATGAATTGATGCAAGTTGGGGACTTGGGCCATTTGAGTGGCACTTACTGGTATTTGAATTTGGGTTTTTCCAGTGTATACCAGGGGGATAAGATGACCTCAGATTTCTTTAAACAAGGATCCTGAGTAGTCAGCGTAATGCTGCTCACAGGAGCGGGCTGGGCTGAGGAAGGATGCGGAGACTTGGCTCTGTTATGACGTGTGCACAAGCACTTAACATTTTACCCCAATTTTGGCTGCCCTCTCGGCACTAGATCAAGCTCTGAAACTAATTTTTCTTGCCTGTAATTAGGAATAAGTATACATGATTCTGCAAGTGAAGTTGTTAGGGCTTAATCATTGAATAATGGAACATTCATTACTTGACATGTGCCTAAAATAATTTTTTGGCTGTTAAATGAAAGTACACCTGGAAAGTAGAAGTAGAATGAAGAACAGCCTTAATTAATATAAAAAATGTCCTGTAGAATAACATGGTTTGGTGGGAAGTTATTTACAGCTCAAATATAAAATAGGAATTTCTAGCTGCTTGTATGAAAAAGGGAAAAAGACCTTCATGTTTCTAGCAATCGACATGCTCCAGCTAAACAGTGAACAGTAAGAGATGCTGTCATTTAAAATCTGTGCAACAGTGGGGAGTGCATTAATGTAGTCACAAGAACTATGAGGTAAGTTCAGCTGTGTCTGTGTTTGGACTCTGCAACTCACGGGAAGGTATTGGAAAGCACCAAGGGAGCACTCAGAGAATTTCTGACCTTAGAATGGTAGCTAAAAAACTAGGGGGAAAAAGTCATGGGAAATCAAAGTTTGGGGGCAATTTAAAAATGATACATAGTTCTAAAAGGCTTTTAAAAAAATTAATTATTATTATTTTTTGAGACAAAATCTCACTATGTTGCTCTCTGTAGAGCGCTGTGATATCACAGCTCACGGCAACCTCAAACTCTTGGGCTTAAGCAATTCTCTTGCCTCAGCCTCCCAAGGTGCTGAGACCACAGGCGCCCACCACAATGCCCGGCTATTTTTGTTGTTGTTGTTACAGTTGTCATTGTTGTTTAGCTGGCCCGGCCCGGTTGGAACTCGTCATCCTCGGTGTCTGTGGCTGGCGCTCTACCCACTGAGCTCCGGGCACCACCCCTAAAAGGCTTCTAAACAGAACAGCAAGTAGCGTTTCTGCGGTTCATTCTTTCTAG